ATTAAATTAGACCAAACCGGTTCGAATCGAACCGGAATGGTCTAGAAGCTACAGATTTTTTTTTCCTTTCTTTTCTTTTTCTTTTCTTCTTCTTCTTCGTTCCAGCGTCAACCTCACCTGGCCCTCTCCTCCTCCCGTTTTTTTTCGATCACCGGAGACCAGCGCCACGCCATGCTGTCGCCTCCACGCCGCAGCGGATTCCGGCCTCCCTTCCCCTCTCCTCTTTCGTTTCTGGCGCACGCAGAAGGCGCAGGAGAGCCGCGACCTCCTTCGATCGGGAAACCGCGTCGAGTCTCCTGCTCCTCGACTTTCTGGCGACACCAGCTGAGTCTCTCTGCCCTCCGAGCTTTCTCTGGGCGACACCGGACTCAATTTCACAGGTCCCCATCCATCCATGCTCTACGCATTTCTCCTTCAGCGCATCCATACTCTATTCATAATTTCCGACCAAAGTTTAGCATGACAGGAAATCTAGGGTCCTTTTGACAAATGCAAAGGAGCCGCTGTCCGTCCCATGATTTTGGATTGTTGCTAATTGGACCAGAAATTCGATTTCCGGCGTGTATCGCAGCTACGGGTAAGTCAAAGTTTCGCCCAACCTTCATTGCAATTTAGTTTATGAGCCTCCTTTTGATCAAAAAGATGGAGGTTTTTGAAGTCAAATGAAGTAAAAACCTATTGCATAAATCTAGACCCTTAGCGATCCTGCTGTCATCGAGATCGCTATTTTTTTTTAGTGAAAATTTGATTCTCTAAAATTTAGCTTTGAAATTATTAGCTAAGTTAATGGATAAGGTTTAGCATGTAACAGGGAAATTCTTTAGGTTTAAGAATCAGATATAAGCCATGAATTATGACAGCAACATTATCCGCTGAGTACTTGATCTAGTTGCAGGGAATTTTTATAAAATTCTAGCCTACCTATTTGTAAGCGAAATATGAATAGAAATTTGTTTGAATTTTTTGCTCTTTGAAATCGGTATATAAATGATTCCCTATATTGGATGGGTTATGAATTCATTTACGTGTTATTATAAGATCCTTGTGAAGAATTAAGCATTCTTTAGGTTAAATATAATAAATCATAAATAAGATAAATACCTAGTTAGGCTATATGGTCAAGTATTGTCGATACTCCCTAGAAGTGAGGAATGTTGGAATTGTATTCCGAATTTGAATGAGTATACACTAGAATGTTTTTTATAAAAAAAAATGTGCATTCAAAACCAAGGGGAAATATCTGATGGTACTTGAGAAATAGGAAATGCTTGAATTCGCCTTTGAGCCTAGCAGTAATATTAGTTGATATTCTTGAATTGTAGTGTTTTGAGATAGAAGATATGCGCGAAGCTCAATAAACCAAAGTTCTTAATGGCGATAGTGAGCTTCAAGTTTTAAGAAGGAAAATATATATATTATCTTGGGGCAGCAAGTAAGCTATTGTCAAGGTTCACTGCTCGATCGTACCATTTTAAATAATTGGTATGGAAACAGGATGTATGGTGATAATAATATTGTATATTTTCAATACTCTTGATGTTGGTTTAGTGTTTGGTTACTGCTTGATAGCAATATCTTGCAAATTTAACGATTCAATTGTAAAAGCTCGTTTAGCTTATATCTATCTAGAAGTGGTATCTTTATGTCAAGACAGAGAAATTTATGAAGCTTTAGTTATATGTTTAAGTTTCGAGCTGGGTTATCTAGTAGAAGTATTTATTAAATTGTAATTTAATTGAAATGTCAGTTCTTAATAGTTAGTCTAGAACTTTAGTAAATGTTTAATGATATTTTATATAACTTAAGCAAAGAATTATTGATAACGTTCCTAGATTAGTTCAAGGTATTTTAATTTGTAAATTATGGTTGATTGGTGATATACTATTGGAGGCGGATGGGTATTTGATTTGATCGATTGCCCGACGGATGGGTTGTGATTGCCCGAACGGGATGGGTTGTGTGTACTTGAATGATAGAAATATATATAATCACTGTGATTTATCTAAACAGATAGCGAATAGTTCAAAATTATAGGGGAGGTGCTGGCCGGAAATTTTGTTAGAAACTGTAAACTAGTTTTAATTAATAAGCATAATTAAGAAAGTCTTATTTAGGATTAATTTTATAACCTTAAATGCATAATAAATAGAGTGCTCTAATTATTTATTTTATTAATCCTTTATTATTCATAATTATTTAAGTATTTAAATTATTTTCATTTGTTATTGTTTATTATCATCATTTTTATTTTATTGGTGTATGTTTTATTGTTAATGGTATTTTTATTTAAATTAGATTAATTGCATTGAGACTGGATGTCTAATTGTGCATTGCATATACGAGTGTTCAGCCTGATCAAAACTGACTGTCTGCTTTGAATTGCAATGTTTGATTAAATTCGTGTTGGTGAAAATGCTATGCTTTGTTTGTGTGGAATTGGGATGAAGTGGAACCACCCATGGGTTTGTGAGGAGGGTTCTGTGATATGGATCCTGAATACGATATGATAAAACTTGACCGTCGGCCGGGAAAATGGGAGATCGGTGCCCCCTTGATGCACCGAATGATATAGATTGTAACTGGGATTTACAGGAATGGCTTCTTTGTTCGTTGCGCAACGCTGATTAATTCTAAGGATTTGATTGTAGCCCGCAGGGTGGCCTCTTGGTGTGTGAGACTTGATGATTTAGATTGGATGGAGACCAAACCCGGTTGCCTCCTAGTTGATATAGGAAGAAAATAAAAAACGAGAGAAGTGGGAAAAACAATGGGGACTGGTCAGCTGAGGATTAGACCAAGTTGGCCGTATGGGGGGATCGGCTCCCTGGTGCCACATGTACTGAGAGGGGCGAGCATGTGTGAAGGACCGGCATCGTTGGCGTTATACAAGGTGGTGCCACTGAACTAATTACAACTTGCTTGATTACTTGAAGTGACATATACGTGGTGAGTGCTGGTATGGGTGTCATTTGGTGTGGACTGGCTTTGCATGAGCATATAAATAGTCGAGTATGGACTAAGAATTGAAATGTTACATATTTTGTGTGACTGCGTGTGTTTGTTTGCAATAATTATGTCTACCTTAGAAAAACTCACATGTCCTTGTTTGATTTTTTCAGGCGAAAGAGTCAAAGTTTTTCTTTAATTTGGAATTTCAGGCTAATGTTTCTTCGGTTGCAAGGGCAATAAAGAAATTTTTCGACCTAGTTCTCATAATTATTTTTACTAGTAATTAAATGTGTAGTAAAAAGCCATGTACGTACAAACAGTTAGTTGACTCCGGCAAGTTGATAATGATTTTGTACATATATTTAAGTCAAACTGTTATTAACAAGGACCAAATTAATCACTCGAGTAAGCCGTGCAAATTAGAACATGTGATGTCATTGTAAAATTGGGCCCGAACTTATGAAATGCTGTACTGGGAGATAAAACTTGGGCCGAGAAATAATAAAAAATATTGAGGGTTTATTTTTCCATAATCAATAATGACGGCTGAATTGTTGAAATTTAAATATGCCTTGGGAGAATAATATAGATTCTAGTGTTTGCAGGCTGACTACAGGCCTCAGGGGCCTTAAGCTTACCTGGCCCTAGTGCCGGCTTCCGGCCATGGATATCGGGTCGTGAATAATCATATGGGCTGAATGTTGAAATTTATACCGAGATAATAGATTCTAGTGTTTCAGGCTGACTACAGGCCTCAGGGGCCTTAAGCTTACCTGGCCCTAGTGCCGGTCCGGCCCATGGAATCGGGTCGTGACAATATGAAATTTTTATTTTTTTATTTCCATTCCATATTCCATATACCAATATTTTAAATTACATTCCATTTAAATTCTACATTCCAAAATTTCATTCCAAATTAATATTTGGTTTAGAACTTTGATTTGGATTTTAATATTCCAATCCAAGTTACACCTCTAGCTTTCAGGGTATATTCGAAAATTCTAGCTGTTCTAGTACTTGTTAGCTGTTTTATTAGTGGTTAGATGTTAGATATTAGTTGTTACTGGTTAGTTGTTCTACAGTGGTTTAAAATAAAAATGTTCGATACAAATAACTGTTTGATTAGTTGTTTAATATAAAAAGAAAAAAAAGATATAAAAGCAGGCAACAAGGTTAAAATAAGTGATGAATATATGTGTCATAACAAAATTATAAAACGCTAAATATTAATGAAGATAGCGTTTCATGACTGTCTCAAACTCTAAACGCTGTGATAGATATTGTATTATCGAGTGCTAAATTAATTAAGATAATATTTTGACCCAATCGAAACACTAAACATTACTTCAAACACCGGTACTGAACATGTTCTAAGAGGTTAAGGTAGCATGTTTTAGCTTTTAGCGTTTTATGAAAAACTACTCAAACAGCTACCAGTTACCAAAATAGTTAATTTTGTGGGACAAATACTTAATTATTTTTCTTTATTATAAATAGATTAATTTTCTCAAACAAAGGGTACCTTTTTATTTTATTTACTTTTTGTATGTAATTATGCATTCAAGAATTAAGAATAATACAATGATTATCTCTTCACATCTGCTTTGAACTTATATATGGTCAATGCATAACAATTTGACCCTTGTTTTATGATAGAAGACAAGTCATCAACCTATTAATAATTGATTTTTTTTTCTTAATTTTAATTTTCTCCAATTCAAACATTTACTATATTCAAATTACTCCTAAAGAAACTTCTTTTTTTTTTTTTTTGTTAATTATTAATTTTGTTAACAATTAGGGATGTAGAACGTTTCTAATACCATTAATTTATAGTAATGTGAAATTGGAATAATAATACCACTTGGTAATTAAAGATTTGAAATAGTACCAATTCTTAATCATTAACAAAATCAAATACAAACCTTGTTTATGAATAAATAAATAAAATAAAAGTTAAAAATTCAAAACCACATTATATATTTTTATATTTTTCACTTAAATTTATATATATATATATATATATTACATTCATTCTTGCCAACCTAATTAGTACCACTCTACAATATATAACAGAGAAACTCTAAATGCTCTGCAGGCCACTAAATTTAAAACACCACCAAACTTCCTCATTTGTTAATACCTTTTTTCCCATCAAGGTCTTATAAGTTCTGTTTCCATTTCCACTCCAGTCTCCAACTAATCTTTATACCGAATCTTTCTTAATAAATAGAAAATGGTTTTGCGGTATATAGAAATTCTTATTTTCTTCTTCTTAGCACTACTAGTCGCTGAAACAACAGCTAAAGTTCCAGCAATCATAGTGTTTGGAGATTCAACGGTCGATGCTGGAAACAACAATTTGATTTCCACAGTTCTCAAAAGCAATTTCAGGCCGTACGGCAGGGATTTCGAAGGCGGCCGGCCGACCGGACGCTTCTGCAATGGTCGTATACCTCCTGATTTCATATCTGAAGCTTTCGGTCTGAAGCCGTCTATACCAGCTTACTTAGATCCAATGTATAGCATTTCTGATTTTGCTACCGGTGTTTGTTTTGCCTCTGCTGGAACTGGTTATGACAATGCAACTGCCAAAGTTCTGGTAAGTCTCTCTATTTTTATTTTTTTGTTAAATAATTTACTTCTTTGTTATCTTTAGAGGAGTAAAAGATGCTTGGGATCTTAAATTATGACAATGTTAGCCCTCTTCGATATTAAGAAATTGCCATAACATCTTTAATTTTTGCTTAAATTTATTAGCATACCTTTTTGTCCAAATAGTTAGCATTTTAAGGTGGAAAAATGAGTTTAAACAAATGTTATAAATATTATAATTTCTCAAAAATAAAAAGACGAAAGTGTTAATTAAAATATAATTAGATAGTCTGAAATAGCGTGAAAGCTGTCAAATTTTTTTCAATAATAACATTCCACGTATGAAGTGATTCTTTTTTTATTTGTTGCGAGATTTGATAGGCTGAAATAGTGTTTCGGGCTATACAAAAGGGATATTTCTCCCGCTCATCAAATTTGTAAAAATACTTGTGATTTAGTTAAGAGATAAACAGGCCTCACTTGATTAACTATCTATCTATGAAGTGTTTTTTTTTTCTCCATTAGTACATATATTTAATTATTTTTCAATTATGGGTGTGTCGGTAAAATTTTTATGCTAAAATATCATATTATTACACTTGCAGAATGTGATACCCTTATGGAAGGAATTAGATTACTACAAAGATTACCAGAACAAACTAAGAGCCTATATTGGGAAACAGAAGGCAGACACCATAATAAGGGAGGCATTGTATTTGATGAGCTTAGGAACAAATGATTTCCTAGAAAATTATTACACATTTCCAACAAGAAGATCTCAATTCACCATCAAACAATATGAGGATTTTCTTGTTAGAATTGCTGGAAATTTCATCGCAGAACTCTACAATCTTGGAGCCAGAAAAATATCACTAACTGGACTTCCTCCAATGGGTTGTTTGCCATTGGAGAGGACTACAAATATTATGGGTGGCCATGATTGTTTACCAGAGTACAATCATGTGGCTTTAGAATTTAATGGGAAATTGGAGAACTTGGTCTCATATTTGAATAAGGAGCTTCCTGGACTCAACTTGCTGTTTACAAGAAGCGTTTATGATCGTTTCTATGATATCGTTAGAAGACCTCGTCTATACGGTAAGCAAGCTCTATTCCTTCATTTAATTATGTGTTCAAAATTATATGCACATGTGCACTGCAGTGACGGACACAGGATTTATAATTTCAAATAAGAGTATAAATTTTAAATTCATTATAATATTTTTGAAGACGAAACATAAGTGTCGAGAAAAGAATCACATATTTAACATTACTAAAACTAAGATTTCAAAATTTTAGCACTTGACAACCCTCCTGTGTCCATCAATGCACATTAGTATATTTATATATCTCTGTCTATGAAACAAGTTCTACTTAATTAGCTGTGAAAAGTTGGGTGGGAAGGAGAGATATAGGTAATAAAAAAAAAGTTGAGTGAGTCTAGTTGTTTATAAGATATTATAATATCTACTCTGATTCATCATGTGAAATGTCTCTCTTTATAAGGATCAAACAGAAAAGATAAAGTTAAAGCCAAAAATACACTATCCATAATAATAATAAATTTTATATCAATTTACGGGATGTGGTTGAGCTGGCAATATAGACTGGACATGTGGGAAGAGTTTTCGGGTTTGATCTCCACTAAACTTACCTACAGAAAAAGACGAAGAGTATTAACTGTGATTAAACCCCTAATCGGATTAATCATTAGATCTAGGTTCGAATTTCCCCTCAATATTAAAAAAAAAAAAGGTAAATGCTAAAAGTAGCTCTATCAAACGAAAATAGACACACATTTTGTAATAATTAATCAAATTAAATTTTATCACTTAAACTCTATCAACTCTAAACTTTGTCTGAGTAAACCACTTCTAAGATAAAAAAAAAATAAAGAAGTAAAAACACTAATTGAACTAGTGATAGAAACTACATCAAAGATGCCACTTGAAAGAGGGAAAAATGAAGTAAATTTGATAGGTATGGGTTGGTTGGTTGGACCCAGGGCAGCTACTCTCATAAAGGCTCACACCAACTACTTATTAACAATAACTTGGTGATACTAGTAGAGGAAGCAAACAATGCATGCATGCCATTTAAGGTTTCTCAAACACAGGGAAAATGAGAAAAAAAAAAAAAAAAAACATCATAAAACATGCATGCATGGCCATTTAAGGTTTTCAAACACAAGGGAAAAATGAGAAAAAAAAAAAAAAAAAACAAATAATATACATTCCAATATGTTCCAAATTAATAACAAGTTTCAAATTTATTTAATTGAGAAGTTAATAAGTGGTGTTTGAATGATTGGCAAGGAATAGATGGTAGACAGACGTGGCATGTGTTGTGCAAACAGGAACATGTTGAAATGAGTTTAACCTCTGGCAATGAAAGTATCAATTTCAATGTCCAGATGCCATATAAAATATGTATTGATTTTGGGATGCATTTCAATCCCACTGAAAGGCGTAATCAAATTATCGCAGATGAACTTGATCCCTACACTTCTCTTTCCCACTTCTCTTAAATTAGACCGATTCCTTAGTTTTTTGTTCATGAAAGCTATTATTATATAAGTAAATGTACTAACATTTTAATGTTCACTTCTCTCCTAATGATTTTTATCTATCTAATATTTATTTAATTTTGGCCTTTCCACAAAAAAATTGAAAATAATAATCTTTTTTCTTAATCATTAATAGTGCATAAGCCATGAGATTTTAATCTATACCTATAACACAATTGTTTTATTTTTCCGCCCATTTTCTCACTTGTCACTTCAATTCTTTTTTTTTAAAATTTTTATTTTCTCTATTTATATTTCCTCTTGAACAAAAAATAAAATATCTCTGCTTTTATGGGCTAGTTGAAGATAAGTAAAGAAGCAAGAAATTTTTAAATTCTACGTGCCACTCCAGAACATCGTTTTTATCCATTAAAGATTTAAAATTTTGACCTATGTTAGAGGTTTTTTATTGATTATCACAATTATGAAGGATGTATTTATATTATAGGAATTCGAGAAATTTAACAAATCGAAATAATCACTTTGAATAATCCCGTCTAAAGATTACAAGAAAAGGACAAGACTTTTGAGAAATAATTAAAAAATAACGATTCTAGTATTCAAACTCAAGGATTACAATAATTTAAAAAGCATCGCAATTAAGAATTTCATTTATAGAATATATAAAAGTATTGGCTGCAAGATGAGATTTGTTGTAGGAAATGGACGCAAGAATGAAGAACTTGTATCTTATCTTCACATGGTGATTTTGACAAGCGTGTATGATATTTCTATTTATATTAGTTAGTGGTGTGATATTCTAGATTCTGGGACTACAGTATGGGTAATGTAACATTCTCATGTAACCTGGATTTACAGCTGTAAAATGGGTGTTAATATGGGTTGAGTGGGTATCTAGTTGGGTTAATTTGATGGGGTTTGGGTTTAAAGTGGAAATGGGTATGGTATGTGGGTTTGTATAAATAGAAAATATTGTGTTTGAAGTTTTAGGGTTTTCTTTTGATTTAGAACGGCAGACTTCTTTGTTTTTTTGAGTTTTAGGGGTTTTCTTATGTGTTTGGTCATGGTTCGTGTTCAACTGCCCTCCCTCAAATGATTGGAGCTGTGGTAAGGAAGACCAAGCCCAACTTGGACAGTCATGATAGACGAAAATGAGAATGGACGTAACAATTCTTTGGGTGAAATAATCAGCATAGTTGAGGTGAGAGCGGAAAGGTAAGGATGTTTCGCTCAATGAAAACCATCTTTAGTATCGAAATGACGACTTGGCAATGAAGACTGGCAGTCGATACCGCGATGATGTAGGTTAAGAGGATGTATGTGTATATAAGGGAGCTCAGGTTATATGGCGGCGATGTGTAGCGCCGCTGTGGTTGTCGCAGAAATAAAGGTGTGACGGTAGCCGTGACTGAGTAGTGTTGAGGTGTGGGAGAGAGGAGCCAATCGCACTCTCTTCGCACACTGTATTAGCCATAGATCTATATTCTGGCTTCTGCGGACTACACTCGCTCCACCACTGCACGGTGTCCGGGATCCTTTGTGCGATACCGCTCGCGAGGTGGGCATGACACTCTCGCGCACTGGCAATCACACCTATAGAGCGCAACAGGTGTCGCAGATATATATATATATATTATCGAGGTGAGCGCCGGTGCGCGCGGTGAGAGTATATTACACGTGTAAGGGAGTAAACACTCACACGATAATAGGTATCTATTATATATATATATGCACACACACCCACACTCAATGATTACCATGGACTCTTGCTTGATCGCGCGAGCGCCGCCGCGTGTGGAGCGCGTGTCTAAGCTGTGCGTGCGAGCGTGCCCAGCTGTCTCGCCTCACTGTGTTCATTTTTTACTCTTTCTCACGAGCACTTATGACTTCTATCCAGTGGTCATTATGAGTGAACGACTATGAAGACCATCCTAAGTTCTCAACACAACAGTATAGGAATTTCTTTGAAGCTTATATGCTATCTTCACTCTATGACTGAATTATATATATATAAGTGATAAGAAATTTTTATTGCTAGGTGAAGGAAGTTGCAAAGTATATGTGTAGATGAAGAGGAAAGTTTGAGAAGGTGCGAGTGCGGTAGTGTGTCGGCGTTTTTGGGAGTAGTCTGATATCTCTTGATTTTTAATTGATTAGTCGGTTGCAGTTAGTTGAGAATTTTATGTGTGCGCTGTAGTTAGCTATTGAGACAATATATCAGAGATAATGTATATGTTATGTAGAGTGAGACGGTAAGAGGAGGTGTGGAAGGTACGTTGAGCGTTCTCCACCTCGCTATGAAAACCAGGGGGAATGAATATATGAAGTGGAAACAGGAGTTTGCTGGCAATTTTAAACCAAGCAACTTCATCTTTGATTTTGAACCCCATTTATGATGGAATTAGGCAAATCTGTACGGGTTTTGTTTTTATTTTGTAGTATAGCTTACCACGCGTTTTGGGAATCATTCAATTGGGAGTTGTAAATATTGAGAGTTAGGCCAATAAGAATATCAGAGCTGCACAGAATCAGCTCGCGCGCGTCTTGTCTAGCAGCCATGCTGGAGCCTACGGTCGCAGCATCCGCGACTTCCCATTGCGGCGCGATGCATATCGTTGGCACGCTTCGCCGCGATTGGCGCGCTCGCCATGAACTTGAAGTCAGGGGTAGACTCTCTGACTCACTCAATGCACGCCCGCTCTTGCTGGAGGACACAGGATTTGGTTTGCCCCGGGTGTCCATGGCGAACATAGGCGAGATTTGCACCGTGTCTGTGGCCACAGGGGGTACAGTGGGGCGCAGACAGTACTGTATGTGTGAACGCACGACGGGATGTGGCGGCTAGCTTGGCGTTGTTGGCCCAGGCAGTAAGCTCTCTGACTCTGCCAGTTGTCGACGCCGCACTAGGAGACTCGCGCTCGTCGGGATTGACACATCTAAGCGCGCTACGCGGCGCGACATATCATCTCGCGCTCGCTTAGACTGGCATGTGGCCTGCCGCGGGGGCGCCGCCGTACCCGCGAACTGAGTGCAAGCCAGAAACACACTAGACTGCTTTCATGGGATGCAAAGCAAGTTGCCGGCTTCTCGCGGCATTATTCGAGGGACTTGTCACATAACGAGCGGTCGCGACTATGTGAGCCAGAACAACTCTTGTTGAGCCTTTCATTCTGTTTGCCTAATGTGAATTAGCATTCCTTGGCTCCAACATGCAGATGGCATGCCAAAATTCCATTTAACAACAAAAATAACAACATAAGACACAATAGATTAACAACATGTAAGAGTATTTATATATGATGTGAAACTCAAAAATAATATGATGAACTAATGAAGGTTTGGTAAAAACCATCTTATGTTGAGCTATTGTGTTACAGTTGTTTTGATTATGGTCCTAAATGATGAAAGCCAGGCATTGGGTGTGGGTAGAAAACCAATAGTACGATTAAGGCTATGTCATATAGACAGTACGGAGATAGGCAGATAACTGCGCCCCCATAAAGGACATACAGTTTGGAACTCCGGGCTAGCAGGCACGTTTGAGTGGATACTGAGTTAGAACGTCGACGGATAGGGGGGGGCAGGCAAACGCGGTGCAGAACTTAGGGACCGGGTTACGCAGGCCACGCCCAAAGACAAGGGAGGTAAATGATTGGCATAGGGCAAGACAAATCCCGGGTTACGGGGCCTAGGATTATAGGCCAATCATCAGTTGTCATCCAGTTTCAATGCCGACAGTGTTTAATCGTATCCACTTGCGGTTTCGCACATAGGTAAGACTGCGTTGATCTGGAGCTACGCCACTACGTAGTTTTTAGACGCGAGTCTTGTTGCTCTGGACATGAATAGCATGAAATCATGACAGTAACATATAGAACATGATAAGAAAGTCGATCATGATAGGTTAAATGGAAACCCGCAATGTTACAGTGTGTGATTATGGAGGTGCGACATGAATGACTAGTCTTTTGCGTTAACTATGTGTGTTTAATTGTTGTTTATGTTGAGATAACCTCCACTGAGCCTATTATTTGCTCAGTCGAGTTATCCTGTTTAATCTCGCCGAGGTATATT